CCACTGTGTTTTAAGTGGCTGGACACCCATCAGTGAGGGTCATAAATATAAAATGTGTGGAAAATGGAAAGCATTATATACTCTGTGAACAAAGCTGAGCACATTGGTGGCCTAGACATGCCAACAGGATCCGGGCGGCAATTTCAGTTTCCAAGCATAGACAGCGGTGGTGGGTCTGCCTCCCTCCATCGAGGGAGGGTCCCAGGTGTTACTGGAAAACATTTGTAGGTCAGGGAGTAAGCATAACAATGACCCGAAGAGTGAGCTATTTAAAATCGCGTTTAAAAATTGGTTTCTTTCTTTTCTAGATAAAGATAGAGAAAATGAAAAAGAGAAAAAATCAGTGGTAAGTCTCTCTAATGTGCACTCTCTCCAGTGTAGGATTATATGTGTGTAGTACAGACACACACACACACACACACACACACACACAATACATGTTTTGAGGAGAAGAGTGAAGGAATATGTGCACATAAAAACAACAACAAATTCAAGGGGATCTCCAGGGATAAAGAGCTGTCCACTCCTGTGCCCCAGGCCCCCTCCTCAGAGACCACCTCTGTTACCAGTTTCGGGTGTGTCTTTGCTAAGAATCTGCACAGGTAGGAGAATACATGTATTCACAGCCTCTGGGTGAATTTGGACTATTAACTTGAATCGCTGACTGATTACAATAGGATTTGTAAAGTGGAAGGTTAGTTTGACTGCTAGTAGGTGACAGCCTGACTTCTGACTGCTGCCCCCAGACCACCAATGCTGAGAAGGGTAGGTAAGTGGGAGGTCACAAAGAATTCCTGGGGGTCCACAGACATGGGTTCCGCCAGTGCAGTGACTTCGAGATGCTAGCTCTGGGGTGGAATTGTGCCTGGTGTGAGGTTGAAGGTCAAAGGAGGGTCAAACTGGACATGCCCATGGGATGTTTAAGCCTTTAGCTGGCTGTGGTGGAGCAGTATTTTGGTCACCATTGGTCCAGAGGCTCAGGGAGCTGCAGGTTTGTAGTTAATGGCTGGAGAGGGAGTTACTTGGTGGGTGTGGGCAGGAGTACCTTGGCTGGGGTCTGTAGAGGGTGGAAGGTGTGGGCAGGCCCCCTGGGGGTATTTGGGGTGATGGAGAGGGCCTGGGAAGGAGAGCAGTCACATGGAGAGGACTGGTGATGAAAATGCTTGAGATTTATGGAAGTTTGTTGAAACTACACATGGGGTAGGGTATGATGACAGGTACCACAGCTGGGGGAGGGGTTGGTAAGTTGAGTCAGGTGGGTATTGATGCATTGTTGTGCTGTTAATTATTGAGCTAGCATTTTTGTGAGCCAGGCCTGTCGTTGGTGCTTTCTGGGTGTGGTCTGGTATCCCCCAGACACACAGTAGGTGGTCCATAGGAAGTGGTGTGGAGCTTGCAGTCTGGTCCAGAGCTGCTCTTAATTATACAAATCCTTTGAGTTCTTATGTGGACCTGGGACTCCAGCAGCCTTTGTTGTTAGTGAGCCTGTGGTCTGATGGGGGAGACAGCGTGAATAGGACAATGGTGGATCTAGAGCCGCAGGGAGTAGGGGCAGAGCTTCTTGGGGATGATGACTGAGGGGAGCCCTGGGGAGTCTTGAGGCCTCCTGGGAAAAGGAGGACAAGGCAAGGCAGGAGTGTTGGAGCAGCGAGAACTGCAGGGGCAAGTCACAGAGGGATGAGAGCCTGAGGCTTGTGGTCGTCCCAGAGAGGTGGCTGGGGAGAGCCTTTGGTCAGGCACAGGGACTGGAGGAAGATCCCAGCACCCGCAGCCACTGAAAGACTTTACCGGATGTGATCTGCTTTACCTTTCAGGAAGAGGTGGTGGACTATAGATAGGGAATAGGGGGCCCGGCCGGGCTGGACTGGAGGCAGAAAGGCCAGCAGGAGGGCTGCTCCCACGGGGAGGGCTGGAGAGGTGTTGTGAGTTGATGGGTGAGGAGAGAAGGCCCTGAATGTCTGGGTAGATGGTGTAGCCTTTCCTGAAGACAGGGATGGAAACAGAAGCCATAAATGGGTACTGGGGGCGTGATGAATTGAGGTGCCCATGAAACATCCCATGGAATTGAACTGGACAGGGAATATCTGGGCTGAGCTACAGCTCGAGAGTGAGTCACTGCCCAGAATTGCAAAATAAATTCCAAAGTTGGGTTAAAAAGAAGTGACTAATGTTTTCAATTGAACAAAATATGAACGGACTTTTCCTGAGGGAATTTGTTAATAGCTAATAAGCAGAAGAAAGTGCTCCACCTCCCTAACAGAGAAAAAATGCTTTTGGAAATGGAGTAAGGAAAGTGTGGATCAGACAACGTGGTTCAAGCCCCAGTTGTGCTCTTTAGTAGAGGTAGGCAAGTCCTTAACCTCTTAGAGCCTGAGTTTCCCCATCTATGCAAATAATTCTTAGCTGTGATTGTTTAAGGGATCATGTGACAATGTTGGCAAAGTACGGAACCCACAGGGGCTAACACTGAATGCCTAGCGACAGACATTATTATTATTCATAATGAATGAAGATTTAGGATGGGATATGCCCAGTATTGGCACAGTATGGTAAAAGGCACATGCTCTTCCATCCATCTTTTTCATTTAGAAAAGAGTGTGAATTGGGACAGCATTTTAGAGGGTAATTTGGCATCATCATCAACAGTCATAAAAACTCACGTATCCTTGGATGCATTGATTATACTCAAAGTCTATTGAAGGGTAGTAATTGGAGCCAGTGACAGGGATTTACATACAAGAAGGCTCACTACAGCACAGTTTATTGTATCAAAAATATCACAACACAATTTTATAATAAAAGTAACTGAAGAGAATGTAACATTCAACAGTAGGGATTTCAATAATTCATGGTATATCTTATGTGATGAAATATTATTCAGCCATTCAGAATCATGTTTTTGAAAATACTTAACGACCTAGGAAGGTACTTTGTAAGAGATAAAAAAGAAGAGGATAAAAATATATAAAGTATGATCCAAATGAAACAATATATAAACTGTCCATGGGGGGAAAGTAGGAAAGAGATTGTTAGTCTGGTTAAAGAAAAGTTGGGAAGTCATAACAGTGGGTATGTTTGAGGAAGAGGGAGAGAGAATTTGAGGGGTAAGAGTGGAAAGTCTTAATTTTTTGACTGTTAGATTAAAATTAAACTGCGTTCCTTTTTTTTTTTTTTAGAGAATGACTTTATTAAGTTATTAGTTAGGTACATACCCCCAAATTGACTTGTTTTAAGTTTACAGCTTAATGATTTCTTAGTAAATTTATGGAGTTGTGCAACATCACAGTCTAATTTTAGAACATTTTTATCACTCAGAAAAGAAACCCCGTGCCCATTTAGTCACTCCCTCAGAGCCAGGAAACCACTACTCTGCTTCCTGTCTCTGAGGATTTGCCTTTTCAGGACATTTCCTATAAAATGGAATCATACAGCATTTGGTCTTTGTGACTAGCTGTTTTCATTTTTCATAATGTTTTGAGGTGCATACACATTATTGCGTTTATCAGCACTTCATTGCTGAATAGTGATAGTGCTCTCTCATGTGCATGGATCCCACTTGGTTGGACATTTGGGCAAGTTTCCTTTTTATGGCAGATTTCTCAGGGTTTTAATAGGATAATATATATTTTGATTCTTCCAGTGGGGGCTTTGGGGCTCAAACTTGTTTGCCTCTGAAAAGTTTGATTCTGATTAAACATTTAAATTATGGTTATCTCTGGAATTAGGAGTGATTTTTTTTTTTTTTTTGTCAGTTCCCTGTATTTCTTACTGTGAGAATGCTTAAAATCTGTTTTCAGAAAAGATGAAATGTTATTATTTAAAAATAAGGATAGGGAATCCCCTGGTCGTCCAGTGGTTAAAACTCTGCTTCCAACCCATGCAGGAGGCATGGGTTTAATCCCTGGTCGGGGAGCTAACATCTCAGAAGCTGTACAACACCCCCATCCCCACCCCCCCCCCAAAAAAAANAAGAGAAAAAGAAGGATAGATGGCCCATCACAGCATCAGTTACAATCATGGGAAGTTGGAATGAAGGCCTAACAGCAGAGGAAGGGGGAGGTAAACTTTGGCACATTCTCCAGAGCAGTGATGCTGGCTGGCCTTGTGCTCCCGTGGCACCGTGAACATCTTTTCTTGTAATTCCCTTTTACTTTCCTCCCCATCTTCACACCTATGAGCTCAGTGGGAGCTGGGACTGGCTCCTGAGTCCACAGTGCCTGGCCCATGGAAAGCCTTCAGTGAGCAGATGCAAGACCCCCAATCCCACCCCTCTAGGTCATCACGAAGCATCAAACTGAACTCCCTGTGCTATTCAGCAGCTTCGTACTAGCTGTCTGTTTTACACACAGTAGTGTTTATATGTCAGTACCACTCTCTCAGTTCATCTCACCCATACCTTCCCCATCCCGTGTCCACACGTTTGTTCTGTACGTCTGCATCTCTTTCTGCCCTGCAAACAGACCCATCTGTATCATCTTTCTAGAGCACATACATATGCATTAATATATGACTTTTGTTTTTCTTTCTCTGACTTACTTAACGTGTATGTTAGACTCTAGGTCCTCTATATCACTACAAATGACCCAATTTCATTCTTTTTTTAATGGCTCAGTAATATTCCATTTGGCCTAAAATCTAATAGTCTGAGGGACTGAGCTCGGGAAGGGCAGAGCTAGGGTGGCTGAGGACAAGTTGTGGGGTCTGGGGGTTCACATAAGGGAGCATCTGTCCTGGAGGGTGGTGGTCTGGTGGGTCTGGAGCCTGCCACTGGTGGAAAGAATCGAGTTGTTAATTGCTAATAACCGGACCTCGGGGTTTCCTATGGAGGTTTTGTGTACACACTGAGGTCTTAGACTGAACAAGTTATGCTATTCACCTGAGCGCTTCCCTAGAAATTCGTCCTGATACTCCCCCAGGCACTCACTTTCTGGTCCTAATGTGCATTTGTCTTTTGCTAGATCTGTGTTGAGGGCAATATTGCCAGTGGAAAGACAACATGCCTGGAGTTCTTCTCCAACTCAACAGACATCGAGGTACGGATTCCACACTAGGTTTGAAGGAACCTACAAAATCTTGGTGGATTCATAAAGGGTGCAAACCAGCCCTACCCAGCAGAAATGCTGCTGGGGGAATTGAGAATATCCCGTGTGAGAGGAGGGAGGGGCCCCTTGAAAGCCTGGGCCTGGTTTCCCCCAGACTTTGCTCCATACACCTTTTTCCTTGGCTGATTATACTTTGTAACCTCCCACTGTAGTTAGCTGTGAGTATGACTATATGCTGGATCCTATGAGTCCTCCTCGTGAATCCTCAGACCCAGGGAGGTGGGGCTCTGAGGGCCTCCTGACACACCTGTCCTGAGCAATGTAACTCTCACTGGCACTCTATTTTTCAGCCCAGGTGAGTGGCATGTGGCAACTTAATTCCCTGACCAGGGATCGAACCCCTGCCTCTGTAGTGAAAGTACAGAGTCTTAACCACTGGACCAGGGAAATTTCTCCCTCCTGCCCCCTGGCTTTAGAAGCACTTATATTCTCACTGAAGACCTTGGAGCCAATGAACACCACCACCACCACCATCAGCAGTGAGGGTTAACAGCTAATGAGGGTGGTACTCTATGCCAGGCACTTGATTGCATGATCTAATTGATTGCATCCTTACAAGAGTAGTCCCTGTGATGCAGGTCCTACTATTGCTTCAGTTGCAAAGGAGGAAGCTGAGGCTCAGGTCACATGGCTTGGCCAGAGTTGCATGGCTAGTGCCTGTGGTGCTGTGTCCCAGCCTAGGCTGTCTGCTCAAGGGCCTGTGCCCTTATTTGGCTCCACAGCATACGAAAATGTTTTGGCTTTAGGAAAACCACTCTTCAGCTCTCAGCTCTGCTCTCTGACCTCCCCAGCTAGGTTATCCTCCCTTGTGTGGGTTCTTCTGGCCTCTCTGTATCCTTATTTTATACTACTTCTCAGGGTTTGAAAATACGTGCTAACTTTCTGTGATGATCTGATTAATGTTTGCTTCCCTAGCCAGTTTAAAGCTGTGTGAAGGCAGGGCTGGGGTGTTTTGCTCTTGCTGCATCCTTGGTACCTCATGTGGTACTTGACACAGCAGATGCTCAATGTGTGTTGAGTGACTGTGCCACAGATGGGGCGCCAGTCAAGGCTGCCTCTGTCTCAGCCTCTGGTGAGCCTGAGTGGTGCAGCATTTGCTCCTCACAGGATAGGAATGGAATGAAGACCCAGAAGAAGGAGAGGAAGGTTGGGAGGTGGCTGGGAATGAGTCACAGAGAAAGGGATATTTGAAGTGGCTTTTGAAGGATATGTATGAGTTTTCCATGTAATGAAAGTTGAAGTGAAATAAGTTGCGGTGGGCATACTGGGCAGAACAACAGCATGAGCAAAGGCACAGAAGGGAAAGGGTGGGGGGAGGTTCCTCCTCAAGGGTCCCATGCATTGCTTTCCTTTGATCTCTTGTGACCTGTGGCACCTGCTCACGTGCACTTGAAGATCCCCAGATATCCCCAGATGTTCTCAAAGTCTTGGCTCCAAGAACACCATTTAAATCGTTCCCAGAACTCACCTGCATAGTTTAGGGAAGCTACTAAAAGAAACAGGATCCGTTGCCCATCGGTGTGTCCGGTGCAGAGATCAGAGAGAGGAAATGGAGGCAGAGCTCACTGCCAGGGTCACGGGAGAGCCCCCAAACCAGAAGCTGGGCTCAATGCACGAAGCAGCCTCCTTCCTGGCTTCTCTCACCTCCCTGCCTGCCCTCCGTGCAGGGCAGTAAGGGGCAGGATGGAAAACAGGAGAGGTGATTGGGAGAACTCCCCTTGCCCCCGAGGGGGCCCCATGGCCGCAGAGGAGGGGATGTGTGCATATACTTGTATACAGGGGTGGACAGGGTGGGTCTTAGATCCTTTCTGGAAGGCACACCAGGAGCCGTGTCTAGATGGAGCTCTGACCTTGCAGGGAGGGTTGCTCCCCTATTTTAGCCCAACCTGGGTGCCCAGGTCTTGACTCTCTTCCCATCCCACCCCTAACTAACACTCGTCCACCTTCATGGAGCTCAGAACTGAGGAGCAGCAGCTCTCTGACGTTTTCTCTCCTGGCAGGTGTTAACAGAGCCTGTGCCCAAGTGGAGAAATGTCCGAGGCCATAATCCTCTGGTGAGTGTGCTGTTAGCTGTGTGAACCGCCAGCTTCTCAAGTGTACGGTAACGGCGGTGCTAGTGCACGAGCTCGTCCCCTGTCCAGGCGTGTCCTTGCTCTGCACCAGGCAAAGGGACAGCGGAAAAATGGTGGCAGGTTGATGTTCTGAGGTCAAGGTTCTTTGAGGCCTGGCTGGGCATGTAAGGAGCCCAGAGCCCTCCTGTCAGCTATCCCAAACCATCGCAAGTGCTCTGCCCCGGCTATGTGGGGTGGGGGTGGGGGAGTAGTCTCCAGCTGCTCATTCTACCCCGACCCTCTCCTAGAAGAAACCCAGGTCTCCTTGGTAACCAGCTTCCTTGGTAAACCTCCAATTGGGGTTTGCACTTGGCTATGCCCCGGGCTGCTGCCCGCTCCCTCTGAAGCTAACCTGTGCACTTTGCCAAGGATGGACCCAGCAAGCAGGGGCTGTAATGTGCCTGTGCTCCCTTCCACCTCCTTCCCGGTCAGAAGGCTCAGCTCTGGCTGCTGGAAAGGGATGGGTGGGGTCTGGGTCCACAGTCAGGGAGTCCTGCAGATACAGCACTGCATTCTCCCCCCACCCCCCACCACCCCGCAGGGTCTGATGTACCAGGATGCCTGTCGATGGGGCCTCACGCTGCAGACGTACGTGCAGCTCACCATGCTCGACCAGCACACTCGTCCACAGGTACAGCTCAGATGCTTGGTTTCAATTTTCTTCAAATGAGGGGCATTTGGTTGCCAGGAAGGGAAACCTTACAAGGACCTGCTCAGCCTTCTCTGTCTCTCGAGTCCAGGTGTCTGGTCCCGCCGCTCTTTGAGGACCAGGCTTCAGGGCCCCTAACCCCACCCTCAGTTAGCCAAGAACTTGCTATGATGCCCCGTGAGCTCAAGTCTTCATGACCTGCCGGCTCCTGGGCTCAATGCCCTTTAACTCAGTTCTCAAAAGTGTGGTCCTCAGACTAGGAGCTGCAGCAGCACCTGGAGACTTGTTAGAAATGCACATTTTCTGACCCCATCCTGGACCTGCTGAATCAGAAATTCTGGAGATGAGGCCAGCAATCTGGGTTTTGTCATACCCTCCAGGTGATTTTAACGCACTCCGTGTTTGTTTGCAGGAGAACCGCGGATCTAACCTTCACAAGGCCTGTTAACGTTCTTGGTTCAGATTCTTGAGAGAAAGAACCTGATTGGCTCAGCTTGGGTCAGGTGTCCAGCCCTGGGCCAATCAGGTATTGGGGCAGATCACCTGGGCACAAAGATGGCTTTTTCAGCCCCTTTCGTCAGCTGGGGAGTGTGAATAGGGGCAGAGTCTCTGAGGAGGTCCAGATTGGCACCTGTGGTTCAGAGTGGCAGCCCAGCCTGAGAGACTGGCTCTGGAGGCTCTCCTTACAGGAGATGGGACGTCCATGCGATGGGACATCCATCCACCGGTGTCTCTGACACAGCCACTCGGCCTGCGGTTTGATGCAGGGCTGGGCACTTGCAGCCATAGCTCTCATCCTTCTACAAATCTGTGTGTTTTTTAAAACGAAAAAAGATACAAGCAGAACTGTTTGAATTTCTGTCTCCCCGAGTGAGTGAGTGAAAGTCGCTTAGTCATGTCTGACTCTTTGAGACCCCGTGGACTATACAGTCCATGGAATTATCCAGGCCAGAATACTGGAGTGGGTAGCTTTTCCCTTCTCCAGGGGATCTTCCTAACCCAGGGATCAAACTCAGATCTCCAGCACTGCAGGCGGATTCTTTACCAGCTGAGCCACAGGAGAAGCCCAAAGATCTGTCTGAAAGTTACATGTCAGAGGATCTGAGGTCGGCAGTCGCCCTACTTTTTCCTGAACGGGCACTCAGTTGCAAACAGAAATTGTGTCTAGTATATCTAAATATAATGGGCCATATGTGTGTTCCTCTGTTCAATGAAATGTATCAGGAAGGAGGCAGAGAGATGAGAGATGGACAGACTAGGAAAGAGGATAAAAGAGGGATAAATGGGGAGCTACAAAAGATGGGCAGGAGAGAGTTGAAAGGAAGGAGAGGTTGGAAGAATAGAAAGGAAGACGGATGGACAGATAGGAGAGAGAGGACATGGCTTTTAATCAGGTTGTGGCTTTGAATTGGCCTCTGATTTGTGGGTCCAGGTCCCAGTGGGTGCCATGAGCAGGTGAGTGAGAGCAGTGTTTGCCCACTCAAGTGTCCGAGTCAGGGCACCTCTCCCTTCCCAGTGGGACACTGTGGGAAGGCCTCCGTGGTGGGTGTGAGCCTGCTGGTGGAGAGTGGCGCCGTCAGTGTTTTCCTCCCCCTGCTGTAGGGCATGGTCCTTTACAGTTGTGAAGGACTGTGGGATCCCCACCAGCCCTGAGTGGAGGCAGATGTTGGCAGGCCTGCTGCTGGGGCTGCAGAAACCCACACCCTGTCCTCTCAAAGCTCTGCCTCTGCCTCAGTGGATGCACCTGCTGGGTCATTAATAGTCACCACACTTCTCGCTTGCCACCACTTTCCTGGGCGGCATTTGGCAGTTTTTCTAGCACTCCCCAAACCCACAGTCCAGTGGAGCCTCACCCCTCCCATGAAAGAGGCTGCAGCTGACAGGCTCCCCGCCCTGCCTTGCTGCACTGACCACCGAGCCTCAGGGCGTAGGGAGGGTCCAGGGCCAAGGAGGCTGGACGCACGGTTCTTTGGTGTCCCCCCCACCCGTCCTTGGTGGCGTCTCAGTTCTGTGTTCAGCATAGGCCAGGGGCAGGGGAGCAACAGTCATTCTTCCAGGCTTCCTGACCTTCCTTCCTGCCCGAGTTTAGTAAATAACATTTTGTTTTCTTTTAGACGTTGCCTGTACGGTTGATGGAGCGGTCAATTCACAGTGCAAGATATGTTTTTGTAGAAAACTTATACAGAAGGTATCGTAGTTTGCACAATCGATAATTTATTCAACCATTAAGTTTTTAGAAATGGAACTCGTTTACTGATTGACAGATACATGGTATAGCCACCAACCACACTGATGGCTCGACCGTCCAGGCTGGGCAGCCTGGCAGCTCTGCTGACCTTGGCTGGGCTTGATGACACATCCAGGGGTTAGCAAATCTGGGGTGGCCCGGGGAAGGTGACTGGGGTGACTCATCTCTCGTCTGCTTGCTGTCCCTCTCCTGGGACCAGTGAGCTGGCCTGGGCATTCACTTCCCATGGTGATGGCCAGAGGGCAGAAGCGCTGGTCTTTTCTCAGGTGTCTGCTTCATGTTGGCTGACCTCCACTGGCCAAAGCAGGTCACAGCAGCTGACCCCAATCTGAGAGGGGGCAGGGCCCTTGTGGGTTACGTGGCACAGCAGGACAAGACACGGTGGGGTGAAGAGTCAGAGCGACTAGAGCCGTCATGGTGGTGCATGGTACTTGTTGCGATTTCACTCGAAGATGTCTTCTGTCCTCACGGGAGCAGACTCCCTCACACAGACGTGGCTGGGTGCCCGCAGTGCTGCAGCCTCAGAGGTGTGGGGCCCTCGGCGCCTGTGCTCAGTTGTTTGCCGATATTTGGGGGTCTTGGGGGAAATGGGCTGCAGGCTGGGGTCAGTTTCAGTTTTTTCCCCCTCCCTTCCTCCTTGGTAGCTGTGTGCCTGCTCCCCTCTCCTTGCCATCTCCCCCACATCACTGCCTCCTCCCAGCTTGAACTTCATCCCTCTCAGAGCTGGTCCCAGTATCTTGCTTCCTCTCTGTATGCCCCAGTTCCCTGGTTCTCCCATCTACAACTGTGGACCTACACGTTGCCTCTCCCGACCCTCCCCAACTCCCTTGTCTAGATGGGTTGAGCCTGTTACTCTTTTTTTTAAAAAATTTAATTAATTAATTTGCTGGCATGTGGAATCTTTAGTTGCAGCATGCAGACAGTTGCAGCAGAATCTTTAGTTGCAGCATGCAAACTCTTAGTTGCAGCATATGGGATCTAGTTCCCTGACCAAGGATTGAACCCAGGCCCCCTGCATTGGGAGCATGGAGTCTTAGCCACTGGATCACCAGGGAAAATCACTTCTTTGTATTGGTTTCCTTCATAGTATTTAAGACAACTTCTACTTAGGTTGAACCATATGAAATTGTTAAAACTTGACCAATTGTGACCTATAAAAATGGCAGTTTCATGCAGCTTAGCTTAGTATACATGTACTTCTTGTCTATCATGTGCCCCACCAACTGGACCGTAAGCTCCTTGAGGACGAGGAGCATGTCTGGTCCGCTGGCCTAGCCGGGACCCAGCACAGAGCTGGCACCTGAGGTGTGGGCAACTGCTGGAATGAACAGCTTAAGGTGGAGAGAAAGACGCGGCAGTCAAGGCGCCACGCAGGCCATTGTGTGCCCCTGCCCTGTGGGCGGAGTCAGTGAGCACACAGGTTTTACAGGATTGCCTGGTTGGCGGTTTCCAAGATTAGAAGGAGGGGGACTGAGTGGGGCCCAGCTGGGGAAATGACACGCTGACTCACCTGGGGCTGGGGTCAGGGACATCCGTTAAGGCCCTGCGTTTGGAATAGCAGGCAGGTCCTCCTACCACCCCAGTGGGTCCTGGACTTGGACTCCTCCTTACTCAGCCCGAGTAGGCACTCACTGCCTGGGTCACAGGCCTGAGAGCTCTGACTTTTCTCAGGCAGGGGCCAGAGAGACACTGGACATGCCCTGGGACACGGGAGGCTGGAGTGAGTGATGCAGCTGGGGACATATGGGTTTGGGGGACATGGTGAGCCAGGCTTTCTCAGACAGAGTTAGGCCAGTCTTCTCTGGGCCTCAGTTTTCCTCATCTATAAATTGGGGCTGACATTGACCGCACGAGGTCTTGTAAAGAAAGTAATGTGTACAGGAGGTTGGCATTTGAGTCTGTGATTTTTGTTTTAACCTGTGCTGTGCAACCTGGGGGCTCTCTGGACCTCAGGGGGAAGGTGGCAGCGAACTGTCAAACAGACCAGTCAGCAGGATTCTTGTGGACCCAGGACCTCAATTTTACTCCTTGGGATCAGGGGACGGCATGGTGAAACCCCTTCAGCTCACCAGTGGTGGGTCTGCAGAGAGGCTTCCCCCCTCCGTGTGTTCTGTGGAAATAAGAGCAGTGCCTTGGGAGTGGTTCAGGGCACCCCATTCCTGAGGCAGACACAGGAGGAGCTGGGCAGACTCCCAGGAGGAAAACTAGATGCAGGTAAAACAGTGCCTGCTGACTGAAATCCCCCAGAATCACGGGAGCCAGCTCCCATTTCCTCACTCAGCCAGCAGCCAGTGGTCCTGGAGCCCTCAGCACATGGCTCCTGGCAATCTTGGAAGAGGTTTCGGGAGGCTTCCCTGGAGCCACCTGCACGGAGGACCTCCAAGGAGAGCTTCGGGAAAGGAAGGCCTGCTTGCTTTGTCTGCCCTCAGCCTGGGTTCGCCTGGGCCACCCAGGAGGTGTCCTGAGACCCCCTGGGGCAGCAGCTCTCAGGCCCCAGAGCCCCCTCAGGAATGAACCCCATCCCCATATCTCCATGTGTCTCCCTGCACACGTGACCCTTTTGTGCTGTTGATCAGTTTGGTTTTAGTTAGGACTGTGCTACATGTGTCCTGAATTGTGACTCAGTTTGATGGTCACAGCTGAAGGGATCCTCCCAGCTGTGGGATTTGACAGAGCCTCGCAGACAGTGGTGAAGTCCTTGGGGCAGTCTGACCCCAGACCGTCCAGTGTCAGTGATGTGGGAGATTGTGGGGCAGCCTTCCCTCCGCGCTGCTCACTGCCCCCACCCTTGAGTTGCCAGTCTGTGCTGTGTCCCCCAGGCCGTGTGTTTGCTGGAGGGGGTGGGGCTGATTAGCAGCTTCCTTTTTGCAAATCCTCATGTGCTTGGAGTCAGCTTTGCTCCTGAGAAGGAAAACATGTCAAGAAGAGGGGTGTGGTGTTTTGAATATCAAATACTCTCAGCTGCAGCTAACTGCAGCCCAGCTCAGAGTAACGTGAACATTGAGGTTGTTACTGGCTGTCTTAACATTAGACTTGGGGGCCGATTTTATTCAGTGGCCCTCATGCTGTTTCTATTGGAAGCGTGGATGCTAAAGCTGGATCTCCAATACTTTGGCCACCTGTTGCAAAGAGCCACTCATTGGAAAAGACCCTGACGCTGGGAAAGACTGAAGGCAGAAGGAGAAGGGGGCAGCAAAGGATGAGATGGTTAGATAGTATCACCGACTCGATGGACATGAATTTGAGCAAACTCCAGGAGATAGTAAATCAAACAGACCAGTCAGCAGGATTCTTGTGGACCCAGGACCTCAATTTTACTCCTTGGGATCAGGGGACGGCATGGTGAAACCCCTTCAGCTCACCAGTGGTGGGTCTGCAGAGAGGCTTCCCCCCTCCGTGTGTTCTGTGGAAATAAGAGCAGTGCCTTGGGAGTGGTTCAGGGCACCCCATTCCTGAGGCAGACACAGGAGGAGCTGGGCAGACTCCCAGGAGGAAAACTAGATGCAGGTAAAACAGTGCCTGCTGACTGAAATCCCCCAGAATCACGGGAGCCAGCTCCCATTTCCTCACTCAGCCAGCAGCCAGTGGTCCTGGAGCCCTCAGCACATGGCTCCTGGCAATCTTGGAAGAGGTTTCGGGAGGCTTCCCTGGAGCCACCTGCACGGAGGACCTCCAAGGAGAGCTTCGGGAAAGGAAGGCCTGCTTGCTTTGTCTGCCCTCAGCCTGGGTTCGCCTGGGCCACCCAGGAGGTGTCCTGAGACCCCCTGGGGCAGCAGCTCTCAGGCCCCAGAGCCCCCTCAGGAATGAACCCCATCCCCATATCTCCATGTGTCTCCCTGCACACGTGACCCTTTTGTGCTGTTGATCAGTTTGGTTTTAGTTAGGACTGTGCTACATGTGTCCTGAATTGTGACTCAGTTTGATGGTCACAGCTGAAGGGATCCTCCCAGCTGTGGGATTTGACAGAGCCTCGCAGACAGTGGTGAAGTCCTTGGGGCAGTCTGACCCCAGACCATCCAGTGTCAGTGATGTGGGAGATTGTGGGGCAGCCTTCCCTCCGCGCTGCTCACTGCCCCCACCCTTGAGTTGCCAGTCTGTGCTGTGTCCCCCAGGCCGTGTGTTTGCTGGAGGGGGTGGGGCTGATCAGCAGCTTCCTTTTTGCAAATCCTCATGTGCTTGGAGTCAGCTTTGCTCCTGAGAAGGAAAACATGTCAAGAAGAGGGGTGTGGTGTTTTGAATATCAAATACTGTCAGCTGCAGCTAACTGCAGCCCAGCTCAGAGTAACGTGAACATTGAGGTTGTTACTGGCTGTCTTAACATTAGACTTGGGGGCCGATTTTATTCAGTGGCCCTCATGCTGTTTCTATTGGAAGCATGGATGCTAAAGCTGGATCTCCAATACTTTGGCCACCTGTTGCAAAGAGCCACTCATTGGAAAAGACCCTGACGCTGGGAAAGACTGAAGGCAGAAGGAGAAGGGGGCAGCAAAGGATGAGATGGTTAGATAGTATCACCGACTCGATGGACATGAATTTGAGCAAACTCCAGGAGATAGTAAAGGACAGAGGAGCCTGGCCTGCTGCAGTTCATGGGGTCACGAAGATTCAGGCACAAGTTAATGACTGAACAATAACAACAAAGTGCTGTTTCTCTTTGTTTCAGCACTCTGTATCTTGTTTGTGTCCTCAAGATATGATTCCCTCTTGGTGACAAAATGGCTGTGGCAGAACTGGGCTTCTCATCTGCTGGCCACAGGGTGGGTATCTTGCCAGTGCTTTCCTCTAAGAGTGAGGAAGCCTGGTTACCATAAACCCCAGCAAACCCTCCTGTCTCACTGCTCAGGTTGGGCCCCTGTGACCTACATCCATCAGCTCACCTTGGCCAGGGGAGAGCATGTCTCTAAGACCAGTTGGTCTGCCCTGAAGGTAAACACTCAGGCCTGTGGGATGGACCCTGAATAGATCATGGGCTACTTTTAAGGAGATAGGAAAAAAGAATTGGGGGATGGGCAACCATACCAGCCTGGCAGTCTTGGAAGAGAGCCTGTGATCTTAAAGTTGGTACCTTTACTACCTGGATTTTAGTCCCCTCTGCAATATCCTAGGACTTCCTCCCTCTCCCCTCCCCTTCAAAGCCTCCCCTACTCATTCAGGGTGGGGGTCCTGACACGTCTGCTCTGTGCTGTGCTTTGCTTAGTCACCGTGTTGTCTCTGAATTTGCATCCCCATGGACTGTAGCCCGCCAGACTCCTCTGTCCATGGGGATTCTCCAGGTAAGAATACTGGAGTGGGTTGCCATGCCCTCCTCCAGGGGATCTTCCCAGCCCAGGGATCAAACCCAGGCCTCCTGCCCACTGCTGCTTGGCCAGGCGCAGCTCTTTCACCCTGAGGGCACTGGCTGGACTCCAGGACTGGAGGAGGAGTCCCCCTCCAGTCTCTGCTGTGCTCTGTCACTCGGGCCCCGGGCAGGGCTGCTCTAGCCTGTCATCTCCAGAGCGCCTCTCTCCATACCCACCTGCCCCCTGCCCCAGGTGGGAGCCAGTTCTCAGCACCTGGCAGTGGGGCAGGGGGTGGGGAGTGGGGCAGGCTGCTGCAGACCACCCTCTCTCCCAGGCTCTTCTCCCACCTCCCCTTCTTTAGTCAACAGTCAGAAGCTCCACCAGCTACACACAGCTCAGCCGCCTCTACTCCCCTGTAGTTGACCTTGTCATCCCCAGTTCTGGGTCCATCCAAGATGATATTCAAGATTGGTGGAAGATGTTTAAAGGCCGAATTCCTCTCTTGGTCTGTTTCCTCCAGCTGCTGCCCCTACCTCCACCTCTTCCATGCTCATTTCCACCAGGGCAGAGGACAGATGCTGGGTCTGTCTGTCTCTCAGGCATTCTTTCTTAGCATAGCATTTTATTTTTTCAATTATGACTATGATTTTTTAATTTTTTTGACTGAATAGTGTGGCATGTGGGATCTTAGTTTCCTGACCAGGGATCAAACCCACGCCCCCTGCATTGGAAGCACGGAGTCTTAACCACTGGACCGCCTGGAAAGTCCCCTTCTTTTCTTTCTTTTCCAGTTATCACATTAAATATGTAGTAATTCTTACCCCTATTCTTTTCCGTGATTTGAGAGCTAGTATGCTGTTAAGTTTTAGAAAATACAGAAAGGGATAAACGTTTCCAGTAGTCCTACTGTTCAAAGAAAAGCTGTGTTAATGTTTTGGTGGTTTTCTTTCCAGTCTTTCAGAATGTGTGGATGAATACTCTTGACAATATGATTGGGCCATGCCATATACAACAGTTCTATATCCTGCTGTTTTCACTGAATGATGAGCACTTGATTATAAGCGTTTTCCATGTCACTGAGTATTATTTTATAGCATCATCTTTCAGTGACTGCATGGTTTTTCTGTTTCATAGATGTACCATGGTTTAGTTTTTCATTATTTTTAAAAGAATGCTGCAGTGGGCATCCATTATTATTTCCATAAAATAAACTTCTGACGGTGAAATGGGTTTGCTACTCCACCTCCCAGCCTGGTCACTGGCCCTGTGCTTTGGGGACAGGCTTTATAGCCCCTCCCTTGGCTTAGAGTTCAAATCCTGAATTTCTCCCCTCAGGCAGTGCCATGACACTTGCTGCGTTTTATTGAGTTGACCAGAAAGCTTGTTTGGGTTTTTCCATGAGGTGTTATGGAAACAAACTAACTGGCCTACCTGGTACCACGAACCGTTCCAGGGAGTGGGAGGTTGGAGGTGTTTAGGGTCCCTGTTTCTCTGCCCGCCCAGTGTCCTGTGATGACACTCTGCTTTGGTGCCCCAGCAGTGCCCTTGCAGCAGGAGCCATGCCCGGATGCTTTGGGGGGAGTGACATAGTCCAGGAGCTATCTTGTAGAAGAATAAAACCCTCACACCTCTCGTTACAGTGGGAAAATGCCCGAAGTGGACTACGTGGTCCTGTCGGAATGGTTTGACTGGATTGTGAGGAACATCGACGTATCCATTGACTTGATAGGTGAGATGGCCCCTCCGCAGCCTCCCTCCCCTGGGCCCATCGAGGATACGCTTGGCTGGGTCCCCGACCAGCAGGGGTGGTGGCTGGGGCCCTCTCCAGAGGTGATTCTTTTCCTGTGTTAACTCAGCCTTCTCCCCAAGGGCACTCAGAACCGGGCTTCTGGTTCCTCCTGGAGAAGCCTGTGTTTCTCAAACTGTTTTCCCCTGGGTCTGCTGTGATGTGATGGGTTTTTCTTCGTTTGTGAGAGAGGGAGGAGGGACGGAACCTGCGCAGGTACTGAGACCAGTCGGGTGCCGGGCTCTGTGCTAAGCTCTTGTCTACATATGGGACTTCATTCAGCCTTACAGTGACCCTGCGGAGCTCGTGACACAGGAAGACAGCGGAAGTTGCCACGAGGGTCAGATATGTGGCCTCACAGCTGCTCTGCGTCCCCTGCTCAGCGCTGCGGGCAGAAGCTTCTCTGCATGCCCTGCCCCTGTGCCTGCCTTTCTCCCACCCTTCACTTTCACTTCCAAGCTTTGAATGGAGCAGTGAAAACCACATGTATATATCTTTTTAAATCTCAGTTTATCTCCGGACCACTCCTGAGACCTGTTACCAGAGGCTGAAGATGAGATGCAGGGAAGAGGAGAAGGTCATCCCATTGGTGAGAGCCCCTCTAACCCAGGAAAGGGGCAGCTCCATCCCCGCCTGGCCCCACCCTCTGCGAAGTCATCGTGCCCTCGTTGCAGGAAGAGAAACAGGAACTGAGCATGTGGGAGGGTGAACTCTGACTTCCTCTGAGGCCGGAGACCCTGTGCGTGTCCAAGTCCACTTCACTTCTTGTGGCCCCAGACTCAGTGGTGGGCACCCCCATGCTCAGAGCTGTCCCTTCTCCAGTTCCTGCCCGGGTGTCCCCAGGGCTTGTCCGGTCTACCTCCTGAAGATGGCCTGCCTTGCGCTCTCACCCCCAGACCCTCACTATGATGTGCCCGCTTGCTCACTTCTGGATCTCCAGGACTTGGCACTGTGCCCGGCAAGGAGGTGGAACTCACTGGTATTTGCCCAGTGCCTCGCCCTTCCAGATTCTGGCTCAGGGCCACGTCAACTCTGGTCAAGCTGTCTCAACCGGCTTGGACAGCTCTCCTGGCCTGGTCCCTCACTGTTCACATCCCCCAGAAATCCAGCCCCAGTACGGCTGCTCAGCAAGGCGTCTAACACAGAACACCACGCAGGCAGTTCCTAATAACCCCACCCCCTCAGGGCCTCGCCACTCTCTAGGATACAATCCTCACTTGTAGCGTGCCATCCAGAGCCTGCGTGATTGGCTTCATCCCCTTCCACTCCCTGCCTTTTCATGCTCTGGCTGTAAAGAACTAGTTGTGGTTACACACACACACTCTCTTTCTCTACTCCCTACTATGTGAAAGTGGCTCAGTTGTGTCTGACTCTTTACAACCCCAATGACTATACAGTCCATGGAATTCTCCAGGCCAGAATACTAGAGTGGGTAGCTGTTTTCCTTTTCCAGGGGATCTTCCCATCCCAGGGATCAAACCCAGGTCTCCCGCATTGCAGGCACATTCTTTATCAGCTGAGCCACCAGGGAAGCCCCCTACCATGGATTTACACACTTGTGTCTTTGCATAACAGTGTCTTTTGCCTTCCAGGTTCAGCTCAGGTAACACCTCCTCCAGGAAGCCTTCCCTGACCTTCCCTTTGTTATGTTTCCCCAGCCTCTGTACTTTATTATAGTCACAGCCCTTAGGACAGATACTCTGAAACTGTTTATGTGTTTGCTCCCCATCCGTTACAAAGTTGCTACGAACGTTTTCAGATTAGATCTTAGCCCTTCTGCATCCCTAGCATGTGTCCCAGGGCTTGGCACCTAGGGGTTACTCAGTTGATATTGAACTGAATGTCCTGTGTGAATGCCACTGGAGGGGAACAGAGGCTGGGCAAGCGTTTCCTGGGATCATATGAGAGTCTGAGCTCAGGGGGAGCTAGACTGGGGTCTAGACAGCCAGTCCAGCTCCAGAGACCTGCCTGGGCACCCGGAGGGTAGATTCCAGCGATGAAGTCCCGAGCCTTGGTCTGAGCAGCTTCTTTGCAATCTGGAGACAGGAGTGATAGAGGGAGGGTGTAACGCGGTGGGGCTGGACTGTGCCAGCCAGGGCGTGGCAGCTCTGTGCGGTGACACAGATGTTTGGAAGAAATGACAAGGCTGGAGTCCTTCCAAGTCATTATCCAGAACACTGTCTTATGGTTTTGACGAGGCCTGTAGACATGTCTGTTGCTGCCAAGAGAGAACCTGCTAGTGGATAAAGAGGCAGCGGTGCAGTTTACCTGAGAGTCTCAGGGCTGGGAGGAAGAGGTGTTTGTTGGCAACCAGTGTGGGCTTCCCTCATAGCTCAGTTGGTAAAGAATCTGCCTGCAATGTAGGAGACCCCATTTCGGTTCCTGGGTCAGGAAGATCCGCTGGAGAAGGGATAGGCTACCCACTCCAGTATTCTTGGGCTTTTCTTGTGGCTCAGCTGGTAAAGAATCCTCCTGCATTGTGGGAGAACTGGTTCAATCCCTGGGTTGGGAAAGGCTACCCACTCCAGTATGCTGGCCTGGAGAATTCCATGGACATAGTCCATGGTGAGACAAAGAGCTGGACACGACTGAGCAGTTTTCACTTTCACTTTCAGCCACCCGGTCCTGCCATAGTTGCCTTTGAGGCAGGGCTGGGCCTCTTTTCCCTTGAGTCTCACCTTGTCTGCCAGCTGAAGTTGGTCCTGATGGCTTCGAGGATTCATAGGTTACGAGTTGCCTGTTGGCGTGGGAACAGCCAAGCGGGGCTTCTGAGCCAGTGAGGGCTGCAGTCCTCTTGGTGGGATGGATGGAGGGAGGGTTCAGAGGCTTCCCAGGCCCCCATGAAGTCATGATGGCCCTGTTGATGGGGAAGTGGCAGAAAATGAGACCAGCCAGGTGGGAAGGTATGTCCGAAGCACCAGTGGAGCCGAGTATGCTGTAGGGATGGTGGGTGACCATTTTTTTCTTTTTAAATAACTGTTCTTTTTTTTAAAATTAATTGTTTTTGGCTCTTCTGGGTCTTGTGTTGCTGCGAGCAGGCTTTCTCTTAATTGCAGTGAGTGGGGGCTGCTCTCAAGTTGTGGTGTGTGGGCTTCCTCTTAGAGTGGCTTCTCTTGTTGCGGAACATGGTTCTAGGGCTCGTGGATTTCAGTAGTTTCAGCCTGTGGGCTCCAGAGCATGGGCTTCAGTAGTTGCAACACATGAGCTCATAGTTGTGGTGCACAGGCTTAGCTGCCCTGCGGCATGTGGGATCTTGCCCTGACCAGGGATCGACCTGGTGTCCCCTGCATTGCAAGGCAGATTCTTAACCACTAGACCACCAGGGAAGCCCCTGAAGGGACGCTTCCGACTTGTGACGTTGGGGCTGGCCGGCAGAGTGCTTAGCCGCGTTCATCATGGTCCACCTGAGTCAGGTTGGCTGTTGCAGGCTCCTTTGTCCAGGCCACATCCCTGTGTTCACTGACCTTCACCTCACCTGCCTGAGCCCCCCAAGGGGAGAGGTTTGCCCCCCTCCCTGCTCCTGACAGCTCTTGTGTTCCCCATCGCCCACAGGAGTACCTGGATGCTATTCACCACCTATACGAGGAGTGGCTCATCAAAGGGAGCCTTTTCCCAGTGGCAGCCCCCGTTCTGGTAAGTTCCCCTGAGGGGGCAAAAAATTCTCTAGAAGGAGGAATGACCCGAGGGCATGCCGGCCAATCTGCAGTCTGTGGAAGGAAGGACCAAGTCCCTCAGGCCTGGAGAATTTGAGAGAAGGAAGCAGGGAGGGTGGAAGGGACCCTATCTCTCAGTTCCCATTCTGGATTGAGTCTTAGTGAGCTGAACACACCTGGGAGAAGATGACCTGTCCCCGTGTCACTGCACCCGTGACACAGTAGTATCTCACTTATCCAGCATCGTCCCTGGAGAAATGTTCCAGATGGCCGGAGCCCCTGGACCTGGGTTTTGGCCTTAACCGCTTGGGATGGTGATCTTCCTGATGCACCTGTCCATCCTCTAGGGGGTGGCTGGCCCAGAACCTCATTGCACCTTTTCATGGTGACCCAGGGCATCTGAAGGAACGTCAGTTGCTGTTCTGGTCTGTCACAGAGTGATGCCCTTAGGAGGTGCTGAGGTGTGTAGGACTGTTTGCCCCAGACTACTAATGTCTTTGAGTCCCTGTGCTTTCCCCTTCTGCACCTTCTCCTGCTGACACTCACCATTTCTAACTGTTTGATGCTTCTGCCCAGTCAGTGTTTCCCTGCTTCCCTCTCCCTCATTTTCTGATTAGCTCCTGCTCGGAGTTTCTCCAGGCGGGCAGATGGGTCCCACGAGCTGTTAGGAATGTGTGTGCAGTGTGGGAGCTGAGGGATGGCTGTGCACCAACTCGTGTGCCTGGCCTTGGGGACATCTGTCTGGGCTGCTCACACACTGTGCTCACGGCTCTTCCAGGCAGTGAGGTTGCTGGAAAGTGAGGTCTTACTCTACTGGATTTTTCTAGAGAGTTTATTTTTTCCCCTCTTTATAGAAAAGTAGGTGATATAAAATGATGAGAAAATAAAGGATTGCGGACGACTGTCCTGGATTCTTAAGTGAAAATACAGTTGAGAATGTGGATTGACCTAGAACTGGTTGTGGCTTGGCTCTGACCGCCCTGTTCCCCTGCCTGTGACCTTGGGCTTTTGCACCTTTCCCTGCCTCATCCTGCCCGCCTCTGTCTCTCTCTCTCCTTCTGTGAAGGGAAGAGGATGTTGAGGTCAGGTGCAGCCCTGTGACCCCTATGTTTCATTTCCAGGTGATCGAGGCTGACCACAACATGCAGAAAATGTTAGAACTCTTTGAACAAAACCGGCACCGAATCCTAACTCTGGGGAATCGGAAACATGGTCCATAGGATAGGGAAGATCATGCCTGAGAAATGCCTGCTGCTGCCAGGTTAGCTATTAGGAGCAGTTTGAAAAACTGCACTCTCAGGAGGGCTTTGTATCTGCCCACAGTTGTCTTCCTCCTGGCCTTCTCTCCTTTCCCAGTGTCTTCATCCTGGGATCCCGGGCCTCCTGGGTGAATGGGACCAATGGGTTTGCCATGCCCTCTGGTGGCACAGCCTTGCATTCCCCGGGTGCTTCTTCTGGTGGTTTCCCACCGCTGAGTCCTTCTAAGCTAGGGCAGTTCCACCTGACTTGTGCTGGGCTCGTGGTCTCTAGCCCTTCAGGCCATCCAGGAGGGCAGGGTAGAGGTCTTCCATCCCAGGGGAGGAAGTTGCAGCTCAGACTGAGGGAATCCCCGGGGTCACACAGCCAGTGACGGTGGGGTCAGCGCTGTTCAGACTTCTGGCAAGTCCCAGCCCATCGCTGCCTCACCCCCAAGCCCCACCTTGCTTACTGGAGACCCTCACACGTGTGTGGGGAGGGCCAACTGTGTGTGCAGCCAGCATCATCATTTTCTCATGGTTTGAGCCGTCCTTGAGGACAGTTAGCGTTTCTTGACTTTCACAAAATTGTGCCACGTTTGGCTTGAGCCCAGAGTTCATCCATTCTCTAGCGTGAGGCTGATTAACACCTCATCAGGACTTCCCTGACTTAGGAGAGGTGTGCACTGGCTCCTGAATGGTGCTCGGTCTCCTTGCTGACAAAGGTCATGCTTGAGCGGCTGCTGATGACCTGTCAGGGCAGTGGCCCGTGGCCCCCCGGGCTGCTGTGCCCAGTGCACCGCGGGGGGCAAGGGGCTGCCAGCCTGGCTTCTGAGGCTCCCTCCCTCCTTAGTGGCTTGCATGATGAGCCTCACCCTTGGAGTTCCTGAGAGTTTGTGCCCCGGGGGAGAGACACCAGTGGCCTTAAGTCGTTTTGAAATGTTTTTCTATCCAAGGGGACACTGCGGGCCACAGAGGATGAGCCATCTTTATTAGCTCAGAGACTGTCTTAGCTGTGTTCAGCTGTAACAGTGCATCAAAGGCACAGCTGTCTCCTGAGTCAAGTAGCAGCAAGAGACAGAAAGAACATTCTCTCCGAGGACAATCTGGACGGGAAGGATGGGGCTTGCAAGCAAAGGCTCTTGCAGCACTGGAGCTCCTGAACTTCGGAGGTGGGTGGAGAGAGCTTCCAGAAGGCCGTGTGCGGACGCAGGGGTGCGGATTGATTATGAACTTGGGGGAACAGGCCTTGGCCTCTCCTGAGTGGTGGTCAGGGTGCCAGAAGGTTGGAAGTTCTCGTCTCGGCCTCCGAGTGAGTGAGGCACTGGTGCACACAACTCGCTGCTGTAGATTGGTGACAGGTGCCCCTGGTGGCCCGGGCCCAGAGGCAGCGCCCGGAGGGCAGCACTCTGGCTCCTGGCCCTTCCTGGTGGGACCAATCCTGGGCCAGTGCTCAGGTGGGGATGCGTCTCAGCCTCGACGTCAGTGATGGACCAGCAGGAAGCACAGCCGCTGCTACCAGGCACCTGGACATGCCGGGACCAGCTTTGGGACTTTGCAGACGAATGGTCGAGTTTTCCTCACAGCTCAATTTGAGCATCTGTAGTGGGGGGAAATGTGATTAAAGAAAAAAAACAACAAAAAAAATAGAAGTATGTATCTCCTTCACATAGAAGTGCAGCTGTGGGTGGTCCAGGGCTGGTGTGGTGGCTCAAGACCATCGGGTCCCAGCCTCTTTCTGCCTTTCTGTCCCCAGATTGACTTCCTGGTTTGAAGCTTTCTTCCTCCAGGGGCCTTCCTGTCTAGGATGGCTCTGGAGTTCCTGTTCTGTGTAGTGTTGGCATCGGGGCACACTGCCCTCTCTCCCCTACCATTCACACCTAAATTCAGATGTGGATGGTGACTTTTGTACAACTAAGATAAGCTGGAACATTCTGACTGGACTTTGCTAGAGACCTCGGAGGTGGGGGACAGGCAAGCAGGAAGGCTGGACCACACAGTCTGGTTTCAGTTCCGTGGTGCCTCTGGGCCCCTTCTCCCCTCCCTTCTGCTTTCACATCACCCCACCCTCACCATCTGTGAGGTGGTACTGTGAGGTCCTCAGCACTGACCAGTGGGCTCCCACAGTGGAGCTCTCAGGAGCCCCTTGCTAAACGTGGACTCTGGGAAATGATGTCACCCAGCCTGTTTTTCCCATTCCTGCCTCCTTTCCACCAGAACCCCTCACCTAGATGAGAAGTGCCCCCCTGCCTGGGGAGTGCATAGTCGAGACATATCCTGGGATTCCTGTAGATTCCCAGCGTCCCACCTGGGGAAGGCAGGATTGAGGTATTTATTGCTCTGAGAGCAGGTAGGAGGTGTTTTCAAAACCTGTCTACCCCCGGGTGCTATTGAATCTGCCTCACCCTCGTTTTCCTGGAGTCGGGTGGGGGAGCTCACGTCAAATGCTTACATTATGTGTGGAATGAATAACACTTGTTCCCTTGGCCTCTCCACCCTGAAGAGTTAACAGTTATTAAAATAGTTGACAAGCTCTCGGAAATGTCAGGCCTCCACCATTGAGAATCTAACAACAATTATATTGCACCCAGTGCCTCTGGGCTTTGGCAGTGGGTTACTCACTTACCAAGGGCCAAGGTTAATGAACACAACTTTTTTTTCTTAATAACCCCAACCCCGTGGCCCCCCTGAGGCTGGGGTAAACTCTGTGTTCCTCTAGTTTCCATAAGATGGTGAACTTGGCCAAAGCTGTCATTAAACAGAAGCTAAGCTTGTGGGATCAGAATGGGTATTAGCACTTAATGCTGTCCTCTTGAATTGTTGCATCTTTTGGCTTTTTCTTCTCCAAGACAGGTTCACGGAACACATGTGTCTGGGGACATAGTAATAGGTACTCTGGGAAAAGAGGGTTTTGTAGTCCAGCAAATTTGGGATCCACCACCTGGGTACTCTCTCTGAGCTGCACAAAGTATGTTAGCCTAGGTAAAGTCAGGAAGTACTGCAATAAAAATGCCTTCTGAAATTTGCTTTAGCCAGGGACTCTCAGACTCATTTGACAGTAGAACCCCTCGTTGAGGGGGTTATTAACTCCCAGATGTGTGAGTGTTCCTTGGAACACATGTTGGTAAGCACTGTTTTAGCATGCCTGCAGCTGCTGATGACTTCCAGTTCTGGGCCCTTTGAGATGCTGTAGCTCCTGGTTCTCTTAACTTTAGGCCATCTGAATCCTCTGATGGCCATGTTAAGGCATGGTCTGCAGGGCCTACCCCCAGAGTTTCTAGTACAGCAGATCTGGGATGTGCCTGAGAATTTATTTTCTAACAGCTATATAGGTGATAATGAGGCTGCTGGTCAGGAAGCATGCTTTGGGGACCACTTCTGGTAGCTTCAGGTTTTCTAGAAGTGGACATCCAGGAATTCCCATGAAAACTTGACACATCACTGAATCTCTTGTGAGTGTTTATCTTATCTGTCAAATGGGAGCATTGCTCACTTCTAGTGTTGTGAGGATAACTGGCCTGATGTGTGGCAGGGGCCCAGAGCATGGGCAAGGGCTAAGTTTTAAATAAATCTTACCTTTGGGGATCTAGATGTTGAAACATACTATAAAATGTCTATAATTAAAACAGTGTGGTACTGGTGCATGAATAGACCCGTGGAATAGACTAGAAAGCCCAGGAGTAGATGTAAGTACATGATAAAGGTGGCATCTCTGATTATTGGGGGTAAAGATGGATTTTTACATAAACAGTGCTGAGATGACTGAGTCATCATTTGTAAAAAGATAAGAATAGATTCATATCTCACACCATACCCAAGAATAAACTCCAGATGGTTTAGGAATCTACATGTAAAAAATGAAACCATGCACATACTGTAAGAATGAATTCTTTGAAACCTCAAGGTAGTAGAACTTTGTAACTATGATTCCAAATCCAGGAATAATAAGATTGATAAATCTGGCTTAAAAATGTATATGACAAAAGCCATGAGAAAACAAAGTCAAAAGACATCTTACAACATGGGAGAAGATATTCAAAACATGTATCACAAAGGATTAATATTCTTGAAGAATTCTTAAAAATAGACAAAGAACCAAAACTCCAATAGAAAAATGAGAAAACTATCCAAACAATTTACAAAAAAGATATTAAAATGGCACTGAAAGATAGGAAAAATACTCAAATTCACTTAATTAGAGAAATACAGATGCTATGGTCTAAATATTCATGTCTCCCCCAAATTCATATGTTGAAAACCTAATGTCTAAGGTGACAGTGTGAGGAAGAGGGACTAGGAGCAGGATGATTAAGTCATGCAGGTGGACCCCTCTCAGTTGGGATTAGTGCTCTGGTAAGAGACCCCCACAGAGGTCCCAAGCCCCTTCGACCATATGAGGGAACAGAGGGACATAGGCAATCTGCAGTCTGGAAGAGGACCTTCACCAGAACCCAACCATGCTGGCACCACATTCTTGGGCTTCCAGCCTCCAGAACCCTGAGATTTAAATGTCTGTTGTTTATAAGGCCCTCAGCCTTTGGTATTTTGTTATAGCAGCCTGAACAGACTAAGACAGCAATTAAAAGAATACCGAGATACTTACTAGACTGGCAGAAAAAAAAAAATACACATCTCAACATGTTCTATTATTGAGGCTGTGGGGAAATACTCTCATACATTACTGGTGAGTGTGCAAGTTTGTACAACCCTTCTAGAGGGAAATTTTGACAACACCTGACAAACTACATATGTATATACATTTTGATTGTGATCTAGCAACCCTACTTCTAGGATGTGAAAATATATATGCACAGGTTATTTACTGCAACATTGTTTGTAACTGCAGAATATTGAAAACAGCCTAAAGACTCATATATAAGGGAGTGGTTAAGTAAACCATGGTACATCCATACAGTGGAGTAGTATGCAGCTGTGAAATAGAATGAGAAGGATCTCTCTCAACAGATTTGATACAGATTTCCAGGACATACTGTTCAGGTTAGTAAGTAATGTCCAAATGAGTATCTAGAGTATCCTAGCCTAAGAAAAATACACAGATGTATAGGGAGTACAGGAAAGATAATCCAGAAAATAAGCAGCTTTGTGGGAAAAGGCTGGAAAGAAGGAAAACTGAATGGGTTCAGGGTTGCTGGGATGAGAAGGGGATGTACTCAGTGAATATATCATTTTGAGTAACCCTGACTTTTAGAACCATAGTAATGTCTCACATACCACCCCCCGCCCCAAATAAACAGTTGACTCAGATATAGGGGGAACGGAAGATCGAATGCAAACACAAATGAAGCACCAGCAAGTCATGACCACATCGAAGGTGCTGGGAAGAACTAACTGAAGTAACCCTGGAAAATTATCTAGATTGGACACGAGAAGAGTAAAGGTAAAAGTTACTTCACATAAGTGCTGAAATACAGTTATTAAAAGTATTTCTTATAGGGATATATTTAGCAATTCTGAAACTATACTAGGATCAATTTAGTAGACTCGATTTAATAGACTAAAACAAATAAGTAAATAATCTGTAGATTATGAGAGCTGTGTTTCTCACTGTTAGAGTTATAAATAAGTTATAAATAAGAGGAAAGGTAGAATAAACCCTGTGGTATTGGATTAGAATCAGAGGTCTCAGTGTGAACTAATGATTTTAAAATTATATATAGCTAGATATGGAAATATAGCTATGTGTGCCTATGCGTGGGTTAGTATACATATGTGTGTTTCCTAACTCTGTCTTGTGAGTGGGCTTAGAAAGAGTGACACCCAGTAACACTGTGTAGACCTGGCACTTAGATCTTGGTTTCTAAACATCATTCTCTAATACAAGGAACCGGAGATTGTAGTGGTTTATTCCATAGCAGGTAAATATCACCAGTAACAAGATCCATGGACATCATACATCCTTTGATAAGATGCACTGAGGACACAGCATCCTTTTGTTTTTTAAATGGTGGTATTCCTGCCCAAAATGTCTAACCTCACTCCAGCCATAAAAACACACCAGACAAACAAACTGAGGGACATTCAACAAAATAACTGAATGGTATTCAGTTCTGATCAAAAGCATAAGATCATCAAAGACAAGAAAAAGACAGAAACGATTACAGATTGGAGGGGATGAAAACTCACAAATGTCATGTGGGATCCTGGAGAGGATCCTGGAATAGAGAAGGATATTAATGGAAAAACTGGTGTAATTTAAATAGAGTTTGGCTCAGTGGTAAAGAGTCCACCTGCCAATGCAGGAGACGGTTCAGTTCCTCGGTTGGGCAGATCCCCCGGAGAAGGAAATGGCAACTCACTCCAGTATTCTTGCCTAGAAAATTCTATGGACAGAGGAGCCTGGCTGTCTATAGTCCAGGGAGTTGCAAAAGAGTTGGACATGACTTAGTAACTAAACAACAACATAGTTTGATAATAATTGCATCAATATCAGTTTCATGTTCTTGATCACACTGTGGTTGTGTACAATGACAGTTTTAGGGGCAGCCAAGTGAGGGAGAGAAGAAAATTCTTTGTGCTATTTTGAAACTTTTTTCTAAGTCTAAAATTAGCTTAAAATGACTCCTTTCATGGGAAATGAAAACAGAACACAATACTATAAACATTATAATCCCCCAATTTTAATATAC